CTTGGACTTCTGATGATCACCGTGTGCACGGTATGTCTTTGCTTCTGTTCGCCTTCAGCCTATCTCGATAAAGTGCACACAGTTATGTCCTGCTTTCATATCCATTTTGACAATATTTGCCCTGCCTCTTACCTGTAGAGTTTAGTACATTAACATTAGAAGATAATTACTGATAGGTTTGGATTTAGGTTTACCACTTTTTTTTTCATGTTTGTCTTTTTGTTCTCAAGTTTATCCTTTCTTGCCTTATTTTGGATTTTTGACTATTTTTTTGGAATGCACTTGCAACTTATCTATTCTTAAATCTTTTTGCATCGTTGTTTAGTAGTTGTTCGAGGGGTAACATACAACCACACCTTTTTAGTTGACTTGGGATGACTTCTGTCCTACTCCCTGTAAAAGGCAGAAACCCTGAACCCATGCGTCCCCTACTCTGCTGGACCTAATGCTGCAGCCATGGTATGTATTATATCTACATATAGCATAAAACCTATAGGACAATTTTATAACTTTTGCCTTAAACAGCCCTGCTTATTTCTTTAAAATTAAGAGGGAAAAGTATTCCTTTATATAATCCAGATATTTGCCATTTCCAATGATCTTGATCTTCTCCAAAATATCCAGGTTTCAATCTGTTCTCATTTCCTATCACCTTGAAGAATTTCCTTTGGCATTTTTTCTGTAGTGCAGGTCTGCCAACGAAAAGAATTCCTTAGTTTGACCTAAAAAAAGTTTTGATTTAACCTTCAGTCTTAAATGTTTTTGGCTGACAGAGAATTCTGATTTTGATATTTTCCCCCTCCTGTGAGCAATTTAGTATTGCTCCTTTATTGTATTGGAACAAGATATTGTTGCACTGTCTTCTGGCCTTCATAGTTTCTGCTTGTAAGTCAGCTAGTCTCAATTGTTGGTCTTCTGTTTCGTTTTTTCTCTCGATGCTTTCAAGATTTCCTCTTTATCTTTGGTTTTCAGAAGGCCCACTATAGTGTGCCTGTGGTAGTTTTCTTTGTAATTTATCCAGCTTGGGGTTCACTCAGATGATTGACTCTATTTATGTCTCACCAAACTGGAAATATTTTAGCCATTAATTTTTTAGTTTTTTTGTGCCCCACTCTCTCTTCTCCAGAACTCCAATTACACGTATGTAAAATATTCTGATATTGTCCTACAGGTCCCTGAGGCTCTGTTCCTATTTTTTTTCAATCCTTTTACTCTTTATTTTTTATTTAAGTAATCTCTACACCCAACGTGGGCCTCAAACCCACAACCCCGAGATCAAGAGTCACGTGTTCTACATATTGAGCCAGCCAGGTGCTCCCATTTTACTCTTTATTTTATAGACTGGGTAATTTCTATTACGCTACATTCAAGGTCACCGACTCTCTTCTGTCATCTCCATTCTCCTATCAAACACAACCAGTGTTTTTATTTTACTTTTGGGAATTTTTTCGCCCCCTAATTTCAGGTATTGTATTTGGTTTTCTAGAATTCCCCCTTTGTTTCCTATGATTTCTATGTTTATTTTTTACTGAGACTTCCTCTATCTTTGCATTTATTGTAAGCCTATTTTCCTTTATATACTTAAGGATGTGTGTAATAGCTACTATAACATCCTTGACAGTTATTTCTAACACCTGTATCATTTTAAGGTTGGTGTCTGTTGATTGTTTTAGAGTAGATTGCATGTTCTTGGTTCTTCATAGAATCATTTTTCATTGTATGCTGAACATTGTTAATATTACGTTGTAGAGGCTTTGGGTTCTGCTGGAGTCAAGCCACAGACCCTGTCCATTGGTAGCTCAAACCTCAGGTTGGGTGTCTTATCCATAGCTGGTGTCTGTCCTACAGAGGTGTGGCTCAGGGATCAGGCAGAACTTGGAGCAGAGTTTATGCACAGAATTTAGGCTCTCCTGAGCTGGCTTTCTTCTGTATGAGATTCCCTGCTCACTCTCTGGTGACTGTTGTTGTCCCAAACTCTGTCCTCTGTTCTTCCAGCCAAAAAGAGTGTGAATTTCTCCTGGAGATAAAGCCACTCTAACACAGGTGAGAACTTCAGTCTGGCTCAGCTTAAAAGCTACATAATGGAAGCTCATCCTGTGCTATTCACTTTTCTAAGTGTGGACTTCCCTCCAGAATCTGTCCTTGTTCATTCTCCAGTGCCTTCAAGTCATTGCTCACTTTTTTGTTTATTTTTGTTCTTTTGTATTTTGTCCAGAGCTCATAATGTTGTCCGTGGAAAGGTCAAATCCTGTAGGTGCTATTCAGCCATACTGGAAACAGAACACTTACATATACAAAACATGACAGAAATAGTTAAGGACCCTTTTGTTCTTCTCCTGAGGAATCTGGTATGTCTCCTACCTATTCACTTTTTATGTGGAGATGTCTTCTACGTATATTGTTCAAAAAGTGTAACACTGGGGTGCCTGGCTGGTTCAGTGGGTGGAGCACACGACTCTTGATCTTGGAGTTGTGAGTTCGAGCCCCACAATGGGTGCAGAGATTACTTAAAAAATAAAATCTTTTTTAAAAAAGCGTTAATACCGTATAATTCATGAGGTAGATATAAGATGGGGGACTTTTAAAACTTTACACAAGTGAAAACACACAGTATTTATCATCCTCTGATTTTTCTTTTCCTTCTCAATGTACTATTTGGAGATCTGCCATTGTTGAGACATACAGATCCGCTTCGTTCATTTTTACTGTTCAGTCACATGGATGTTAACTCCTTTATCTGCCATTTCTTCTAGTGACGGACACTCAGGCTGCACCTAATTATTTGCTCTGATAAGAGCACCGCAGTGATGCTCTTGTACCTATGTCTTCAGTTCCTTGCCTAGACACACAACTGCTGGATCAGCTTTACTTCACCAGCTTGCTAAACTGCTCTCCAAAGTGACCGGACCAATTTATCTCTCTACTGGCAGTACATAAAAGTGCCCGTTCCTCAAAATACGAACAGTGGTTATCTACAGGCAGTAAAATTTCAAGTGATTTTCACCTTCTCTTTCTACACTTTCTGTCACTGAATTTTTTTTCCCCTCTGAGCAGTGGTTGTTCTTACAACAGCAGACTTTTTGTGATCAAACCAACAGCAGAACTTGCCCTTCCTTTCCCACCCTCTCCACGTCAGGGAAGACCAGCACCCTCAGCTGCCTGCGTATCTCAAGATGAGAAAGCTGGGGAGGTGCCCATGATCCTCTCCTCTGTCCCCTCCCCGCACTTGCCTGTGTCCTGTGCGCACTGCTTTAGCTCTAAATACGCTTCTTCGTGCATTTCTTTGCTTATTCACTCCCCAACTATTCTGCAAGCCCCTGAGGGCAGGAAGTGCATCCTTCTCATTTCTGTATCTGTGGGACAGGCACTGCCTGGCCCAAAGCAGGTGCTCGAAAGCACACGGGGGATCGTAGAGTGGATACTGCCTTCCGCACTGTACCAGCAAGAAAAGGCTTGAGAAATGTACCCCGCTCATGCACCCACCGTGGGAGGACAAAACCCCAAGCTGAGCCTTCTGACCTAGAACTCCCCACGCTGGGCAAAATGACTGGCCCAGGACCCCACAGCTGTGCATCTCAGCTGGTGGCAGAAGTGAGGTGCCCGGTCCTGGCTCACCCCAGTGATGGCAGCCTGGCTCTCTCCGGGGCAGACCAGCCACTTGCTTTGCCACTGACTTTCATGTTCTGGACGGGATTCAATAAATTCATTGTGGATATCAGCTACAAGTTCTGGGCAGCCTGCCTAATCTCCGGAGTCACTTAAAATCTTTGTCGTTTCTGCAAAAGTGAATGTTTGAACAATTTATTCCACACATCCCGTCAACAGAGACACCCTGGAGTCCTCATTTCCACATCACATTTCATTGTTTGACGCTGAAATGCACCACGCATGCTTGCCACACATTAGCACCGTAATCTCTCTCCTTTGCTGTGGAAATGATAGGGAAACGGTGCTTTGATACAAGGAAGGGTGACAAGGCCACGCCGTGCTGAAGCTGGGATTCCACAATTATCGTTCGTGAAAGGGAGACGGTTATCAAAGCAGCCACAGGAAAACGTCTTGGGGCCACCTCTCGGAGTTAGGAAATTTGAGACATACATTTCACAGCCGTGCGTCACACCGTAAACCCTTCTGCATAATGCACGAGATTTGATTTAATGTCGTTGTTAATTCTGCTGCTCACAGCAGTGCACTCTTAAGGGACCCATCATTTTTATTTCAGGTTGTTTTTTTTTTTTTTTTTCTCCTGGCAACAGAAGAACTCTTGAGGCTTTTCTGGGCTTGTGCTGAATTGTGGGAGCACAGACCCCCTCCCAGGGGCAGGGGTGCAGACAGTAGGTAGCTTGTCCAGAGGCTGTGGCCGGGTCTCAGCTCTCCGTGCCGGGCTGTGGCGGGGTCAGAGCTGGAGGGCTGGGTTTGACAAAAGGAAAAAGGAAGAAAAGAACAAGCCTTTGTGGCAGAAGAGGAAATAAATGAAACCATGGTCACTTTCCAAGCTGCACAAGAGGACCGTTCTGGCCTGGGTTAGCTGAGGGCACGAGAAGGAGCAGGATGATAAAGCAGAGCGAGGGGTGGGGAGCAAACGAGAACCACCCCCCACACAGCAGGGACCCAGCTGTGTCCCCCCAGCTGACCTCCAGCCCGCCCGGCACCCGTGTGAGCCCCGGCCAGAGCAGAAGAGACGCTCAGCTCACTGCTCGCCCGCGGACAGTAATAAACAGCCGTGGCTCCAAGTTACTGCTTTGCCACACGGCTTGCCAGGAGCAGTGGACCTGGATCCCAGCCGGACGAGGGCTCCTCACCGACAGACTCCCAGCATGGCCCCGGTTCAGCCACACTGGGTTATGATTCTAAGGGATCCGTTACCTTATCTCAGCCCACAGCCCAAGAACGATGCAGAAGGGCCAAGAGTCAGAACTCTGGCTGTTCACTAGAAGTTTAATGGCAAGTTTACAAAGCACAGGAGAGCACACACAGACTTCAGTGTGGCGTTTCCCGCCCTAGCGGAGCGTCCCAGCCGCCGGCAGGGGCCGCGGAGGCACGGGGGGCGGGGCGGGGCCCATGGAGGGTCTGTCTCCTGTGCAGCCTTCAGCGAAGGGGCCGCCCCGCTCACCTGCCTCAGGGACGCTGGTGCTGAGCTCCCCACGGGCCTCCGGGGTGCTGAAGACCTTCTCGTAGTACTCGATCAGCAGTTTGGTGAACAAGTTCAGACGCACAAGGGCGCTCAGGGAGGACGCCCCCTGGGATGGCCAGATTAAATCCAGCCCAAAGACGCACGCCAGGTTGGAGCTGTTCATTTTGTTAAAAATGTTCTCCCGGGACACCTGGAGGACACATATGGGACCAGGCAAGTGACTGCGGGTTCTGTGCTATGGCCTTGTACAGCCAACTCCCTGCTCTGGGCTTCAGTTTCCCCATCTGTAGAAGGAAGGACTCAGTCTTGATGCTCCAAGGGACCCTCTGGCTCTGACCGTCTGTAAGCTCCTTCTGGGATCTCCTCAGGGCCCTAGTCTTCTCTTCCTTTCCAGAGGACTGGGGAGGTCCCCTCAGGGGGGGCCCCTACCACTGTGGGTGCAAGCATGGTGTTTGGTGTCACCCAGCCAGACCACATCTCTGATACCCACACTTTGGCTGGTGAGTAGGGCATAGTCAAGACTAACTAGCACGCAGGGTCATTGGAGGACTGGGGACGGTGCGGAAGGGAAGAGCTTGCCTTACAGCCTTGCAACCCCAAAAAGCAGGATACATCACCCATCTTACAGATGAAGAAACTAAGGCCCAGAAGGTGCAGGGGACTTGCCTGAAGTCATGTGGCCAGTAGGCGGCAGGGGGCCATCAGAGGGCATGGCCTGACATCTTCCTTGCCTCCAGGGTCTTGGGGACCTCGATGAATCAGAAGTAGGCAATGCAGAGCCTCGGGGTCATGGGAGAGCACAGAACTATTTGGGGGGGTTGCACTGCCTGGTGACCCCCTATGGATCTGGTGAGGAAGCCCTGCCTCCGTGAGACAGGCAGCCCCCAAGCCCCTGCAGGTGCACACCAGGGGCCAATGCTATGCAGCGCCAAGCCCCATGGGATGATTAATGTCAGTGTCATGGTGGAGGACAGAGAAATAAATCCATCTCTAGCTAATGAAAAAGTAGAAAAAAAGATTAGGATAACTTAGTTTTTGGCTTCTAAGAAATAAGATCAAGTGACAGAGAGGGAGAACGAAATAGTTTATTTTTTTAAAGCAATCTCTACACCCAACATGGGGCTCGAGCTCATGACCCCAAGATCGAGTCGCCTGCTCTACCGACTGAACCAGCCAGGTGTCCCCGAAATAGTTTAAAACCAAGAGGTGGTGTTTGACAGACTCCAACATGTAACATTGGCTCTGCCTGGAGGTCCCCTCCCCTCCATTGGAGATCACATTCCCAGGCCACCTGCCACGAAGCAGGGTTCCCACATAAGCCCCGAAGACCCTGGGCAGGACGCCGCCATGCTATCGCCACACTGGGCGGAAATGTGCCCCACGGCTGGGAGCCCCATGGCCAAGTCCTGCCTCGTTCATGCCTGAACCCCACACTGCCTACCAAGGGCCTGGACGGATGAGTGTTCCAGGAGGGGTCAGACGACAGAGGGTCATGGGTCTGGAAGCAAAGGGAGGGGCCCGTTTGGACCCGTTGAGGTTTTCCCTGTTGACCTCGAAGACCACTGCTCCCTGCCCCAGGTGTGGGGAGCTCAGCCCGGACCCAGAGCAGGGACAGGTGTTTCTCTCACTGTTCATTTTCTCACTCTGTGTAGGGGGTGGAATGGCAGCCCCACAACACAGATATCCACCAGGAACCTGTGGATGTGACTGATTTGGACAAAGGGTCCTTGCAGATATAATCAAGGATCTCAAAGTGAGATCATTCTGGATTACCCAGGTGGGCCCTAAATGCAACGACAAGCATTCTTGTAAGAGGAAGCGGAAGGAGATTTGTATAGAGAGGGGACAAGGCCGCGTGGAGACAGGCAGGAGTGAGGTGGCCAGAAGCCAAGGGACGCGGGAGCCACCAGGAGCTGGAAGGGGCAGGAAGGACCCTCCCCTAGAGCCCCTGTGGGAGCGCGGCCCTGCCCACACCTGGATTCTGGCCTTCTGGCCTCCAGGACCGTGACCGTACGTTTCTAGGTCTGTAGCTGCCCAGTCAGTGGTACCATGTTACGGCGGTCCCAGGACACTCGCGCACCTGGTGACACGTTCCTCTCTCAGGAACGGCCTGCTCAGTCTGCTCACACTGCGCGTCGGGCTCGGTGCCCTGGCTTGGGGACCCAGCCCCTCCCTGAACAGACAGCCCCTGCAGGAGATGATGCGGGAGCAGAGGACTCATCAGTGACTGAGGGGTATGGGGTCAGCAGAGGCAGGCACAGAAGTGGAGTCCTGTGGGCGAGGGAGACCCCAGACCCTGGTCTGTGTGGGCACCATGGGCAGGAGGGGGCCCCTCTGGGCCAGGCCCCAGAGTTGGGGCCTCCCCACCAGCGCCCTGCTTTGCCCACTCACCTCATGCAGGAAGCCCATGAGGTAGCTGAGGACAGCGTAGTTGTGTTCTGGAAGGCTCTGCAGGGTCTGGCGGCAGCGGGTCACCCGCAGGCTGCTCTCCACACCTACAACGGCACAGGGTTCTTCCTCAGTCCTCCCCGAGGGGGCGGCACAGGCACAGGGAGGACAGCTCTGAGGACAGACTGTCCCGACGTCGGGCCTGGGGGCCTCACTCACTGCCAGGTCATGTGGCCGCTCCCTGCGAAGCCCTGCCTTCCGAGGGCTCCAGTCCCTTCTTTACACTGGTACTGCAACTAGGACCTCCCAGAGAGCGCAAAAAGCCCGATCGCTCACTTCATACGTGGGAATGGTCTACAGCAGCAGTCAGCAAATTGCAGCCCGTGGGCCACGTGGCCCACTTTTGTCAATAAAGCTTGACTGGCACAGAGCCACACCCCTTCATTTATACATCATCTGTGGCTACTTCTGCAGAACCGCAGAGCTGAGGATGGCAACACGGACTGACCCACAAAGCCTGAAAAGACAACCTGGCCCTTTCCAGAAAGTTTGCCAAGCCTGCTCCAGAACTGACTTAACCTGTCTGTGATTCCCTGCAGCTCAGGGCCCCCCATGCACCAAGAACCTGGGTGAGGCTGCCCCAGACTCAGACCCCCTCACTTTCCTGGTAACTAAATCCTCCACTGAGCTCCATAAGCTGCAAGTCAAAGTGCATCCACAGCGATTCCCCGGGTGCTCAGCACGCTCCTGCTGCAGACACACGTGTGCACACTCACTCCCCCTTCCTCCAGTGCGCTCACCTCCTCCAGCTAAGCCTTGGGCAGGGTTACCGTGAACGCCGTGTGCGTTCCAAACACAGCCACTGCTGAAAGGCACAGATTTCCCTACCGTGAATGTTCTTGTTGGCCTTTTAATAAAAGCTCTTTCATGAACTTGAGCTGTCAGGGGTAATGTCAACGGACAGAGAGTTCCCGTGAAATTAATATTCCCAAGAAACCAATGAGCTTGGAGGCCGCCATCTTGGTGCCTGGACCTCAGCTTCCTGGTCTCAATGTCATCTTTCTACAAATTATGGTTCCAGAGCGGGTCCCTGTACAAGGTCTACCTCCAGCTCTCACCACAGTCCCTTCGAGAAAGAGCACTAAGGGGTGAGCAGGAGGGAGGTGCCTGCGGACTGTCACAAAGCACTTAGCAGGTGCCATGAGCGATGCCACGTGTTTTATGCACATTTAATCCTCAAAGCAGCCCCCATTCTATACAGATGAGGAAAGTGAGCTCAGAGAGGATAAGTGACGTGCCCAAAGTCACACAGCTAATGCATGGTGATGCCCAGACTTGGATCCAGATCTGTGCGGCTCTGAGCCAGTTCTCCTAACCTCCTTGCTGCAGATCAGACGGGATGTCCCCCCATGACTTCCTCGTGCCCTGGACACTGCAGGCCACCCAGAAAGCCCATTCCTCCCCAGTGTATCCCAGAAAGCCTTGCTTTTGTATCACTTCCAGGAGAAACCCATCCCACCTGAGTAGGGTTACCAGGTGAAATAGAGGACACCCAGGGAACTCTGAATTTCAGATAAACAGCAACTATCACTTACACTAAAAAAAGTATTCATTGTTTATTGGAAATTCAAATTGAGGTGGGCATCCTGTATTTTTTTATTGCTAAATCTGGTGACCCTATATGCCCGTCAGCACGCAGCCGGGCCGAGTGAGGCCACAGCCCAGAGGGCGGGATCTTTATTAAAGCCTCTGGCAGCATCTCGGTCCTCGACAACTGGAACTCCGGCACTGTCTGATCTTAACATTTGCAGGGCGCAAAACAAAACTGGAAACAGCCCTAAACGTTTACCCAGAGAGTAATAAAGTGGATGGAAGGCTGCGCGACCATAAAAGAACGAGTAGATATGCACCCAAGGAGGGAAGGATAAGAAGATGGGTAACAGCAGAAAACGCTGAGGAAGCCAGCTCGAAGCCAGCGTGCGTGAGCAGCGTTCCTGGCCAAGCGGGGAGCGCGCACGGAGCCTCTGCTGGGCCTGCGCCGGCATGGGGCCCCAAGGGTCGGCCGGGACTCCTGTTTCATTACAGAGCCTCTGCTCCGTTGATTTTGGGGTTTTTTGTTTTTTTTTTACACTCTGTGCTTGTGTTATTTCCATCATAATTCTTAAAAATTCTCAGCGTCTTCCCCAGCCCCGCCCCGCCCCCTGGTGCAAAAAGGCCACAGGTCAAGCTCTGCTCCTAAGACTTGTTCTTTTGCAGCCAGATCTCTACCCACAGGCTGTGCTTCCCTCATGGCACAAAACCCTGGCTGGTAGCATCACCTGGGAACTGGTTAGAAACGCAGATCGCGGCCCACTCCGGGGTGGGGCCCAGCGACCCCTGTTTTAACTTCCCTCTTTTGGGGAAGTCTGAGGACGTCAGTCACACTGCCAAGCCTTCCCCTCTGCTCATCCTCCTGCCCGGCACGCCTTCTCCTGCTCTCCCTCCGGTAATCGCCGACGCCCATTGCGAGACACACCGCCGCCGTGGGGATTCTGCCACCCTTGGGTCAACGATGTGCCTGTCCCTGCAGCTAGCCCGGCCATGGTGGCCTGGCCTGGCCGTGGACACCGTGGCCCACCGTGCCAGATGGCAACAGGAAGATAGATGCGGGGCAGCCCCTGCCCCCCGGACTGGTCCTCGGCTGGCACCCCCAGGGCAGGCACCTACTGGTGATCCCGAGAATCTGCTCATAGGCCCTGAAGGTCAGCAGTGGTTGGGGCAGCTCTCGCAGGAAGGTCTTCAGGATCACGGCAGGGATGTGGATGTCGCCATAGTCATCAAAGTTCACGGGCTTCCCTGGACACAGAACATCGTATGAGTTCTGATGGGGCTGGAGAGTCCGCTTCACAACGGGCTCTGATGCAGATGGCTTAAAACTCCCGAGGGGAAGAGCTTTCCTGGAGCCACACATCCAGGGCGTGCCCATGTCACCTGTGGGACCCGGGGACGCTGCCGCTGTGCCCTCCTCTGCTCTCCAGAGCCCTGGGCTATTCTGGGGGTGGGGTGGGGTGGGGCGGGGGAGCCACACTACCCTGGCATTTGGGACTCTGCGGCCCTGGAGGGCGGTGCAGGCCGGCTGGGTGGGAGGCTCAGCACGAGGGGTCTCTGGGAGACAGACTCACCTTGAGTGTACAGACGCTGAATCTCGCGGATGGTGTGGACACTGGCCGATCTCCGGAACAGGCCCTCAGTGTGGAGTCCTACAGAGAGAGGACCTTCAGGCATCTCACAGGTCCTAGCACATCAGGTTTCTGGAACATTCCATGACTCCTCCTGCCCACACATCACCCTCCTGTGGCTGGCAGGGAATGCTCTCCAGTCTGGTTCATTCCCAGCCACCCACACTGTCCAACATCCCCACTTTTCTTCCTCAAACTACTATACTCCCCAATCCCACCTGACTCTACTTCTGCAGCCCCCAGGAAGGGAGCATCTAGCCAGACAGACCTGGAGTCCAGGTCCAGTCCAACTCTGCTCATCCAGCTGTGTGACCTCAGTGAAAGCACACAGCCGCTCTGAGCTCGGCCGCCCTGTCTACAGAGTAAGGCCACAAGCCCCTGCCTCTGAGGGCTGCAGAGAGGATCCACGGGGAGAGGCATAGCATCCAAAAGGCTACACAGGTGCTGATTCATCCAGTAGGGTAGCCACTGGCTGCACAGGGTGATTTAAATTTCCATTTAAGTAGTAAAAATTAAATAAAGTTAAAAATCCCCAGTTGCCCAATATATGAGACACCTAGGAAGTGCTTGATTGGGCTATTGCCACCAGCAGCTAGAAGCTACCATTTTGGACACGGCGAATATAGAATGCTTCCAAGTGTTATGAGATAGCACTGGGCTCCCCTCCCAGTCTCTTCTCCATTCTGAAACCGAGTGAGCTATTCAACATTATACGTCTGATTCTGATCAGTCTGTAAATGGAGCCATTCTCCGTCTTCATAGGTACTTACCACGGACCTGCACAGTCCGGCCTCTCCAGCCTCACTGCCCCCTCCTCCAGCCTCCAGTCTGCCCCACGCTCCTTACTACTCCCGGCCTTTGCATGCACTGTTCCCTCTGTGTGAGTGGCTGGTCCCTCTCTTTTTCTTCTGAGACTGCAGTAGGAAAAGTTCTGAGGTGGCTCCCAAATTCCTGGACCCTGGAAAGTGGCAGAGACACTTTCTCCCAGGTATTCATTCAAACACTAGTCTACATGTTGCAGGGAAGGAACTCTGCAGACAGAAGTCAGGTCCAAAGCAGCTGACCTTAAGATGGAGATTATCTTGGGTGGGCCTGACCTAATCGGGCAAGCTTTTGAAAAGGGACCACGTTCTTCCTGGCAACAGAGATCTGGAGCATGGAGGCTGGGATTCGACATGCGGGAGGGTGTCTGTTGGTGGGGGCCAGGGGGGCACATGGGAAGGGGAAAGTGTGCCGCCTCTAGGAAGAGAAAGAGGCTGACAGCCGCCAAGGGAATGGGCATTTCCGCATGAACTGAGCGTGGCCAACAACCCCCCTAATGAGTGTGGAAATCCAGAAAGAAATGCAGCCTGGCTAACACCTGGAGTTTCGCTCTGTGAGACCCTGAGCAGACCGGCCGCAGAGCACCCAGACTTCTGACCTATGGAAACTGAAAGAATAAATTCATGCCGTTCGAAGCCACTAAGTGATCATTTGTTATGCAGCAGAGGAAGGCGATCCAGTGACCCTCGGCCCACGTGTCAGAGCTCAGGTCCCCTGATCTCCAGGATAGCTCACCCCCGTGTAAGTCTGTGGTTGTCACAGTGTTAACGGAGGAAAACATCACGGAGTCTGTCGGTTCCAACCGTGAGCCCCCCAGAACAAGGGCTGGGTGCTGCGGTCACCACAGCAACCCCAGCACGTCCATCCAGGCTGGATGCAGGGAAGCGCCCGATGAGTACATGCTTAATCATGTACTCATCCAACAAATATATACAGAGTTCCTACTCAGGCCTGGGTTTTTTGTTTGATTTTGTAATAAAGGAATTGATACGTTAAACCCAGGGAGACTCCCTTTCACGGTTTCTGACTCATGGTCGTGAAGCACTATCTTCTGTCAGTTCCTGAAACACGGAGCAGAATGGGAAGTGCTGCAAATGACTTCTCGCCAAAGTAGAGACCATTCCAAACGACAATCGGATCCCCCAGCTAGAGAGGCGCTGCCTCATAGAGCTTTCTATGATTAGAACAAGCAGTTCCAGGAGCACGCCAAGTAACAGAGGACCAGGGACCCCAGCTGTGGTGGCTCCCACATCTCGTCTGATGCACCCCCACTCCTGCTCGGCAGCATCTGCACCTGGAGGTGGTCCCCCACACCGCCTGACGGCCTGTCCCACCCAGAGACCCATCCTCCTGTCAGGGTGAAAGCAGCCTCCATACCTCCGCACTCTCCCTGTGGATCTGCGCTCTGGCCTCAGGAGTCTTGGAGGACCCATAAGACTCACCCCCTCTGGTCACTGAGTGCACCCACCCCACTGGGGGAGGCACCTGCAAACCAAGCTATCTATCATGTCAAAGGGGTCCCTTTATGGGGGGCTTTACGTGTATCATGTCATTTAGGCCCGGGTACTGTTACTAACCCCACTGGGCAGATGAGGAATCAGAGGCCCAGAGAAGGTAAGTAACTGCCCAAGGTCACACAGCCAGTACACAGTGGAGCCAGGATTCAAACCCAGACAATCCACGTGCTTGAGACCAGTCCATCCTGGTCAGCCTCCCTGCACAGGTTCCAGCCCCTCCAATTCCCTGGTCTGCAGGGTGCTCAGGCCGTGAGTCAGGCCCCCCCCCGCCAGGGAGGTGCACCCAGAGGCCCTCGCACCCCTGGCTGAAGTCAGGTCTCACTCACCTTTCTCTCTCAGGTGGGTCCCTGTGAACCTCAGTACGGCGGGATGAGCTCACCGTGATTTTTGTCCTTGAGGCTGAGGGGAAAGAAAAGGAAGTAACAGTGTTTACCTGGGCATGACAGGAGACTCTGATCCCCTCCACGCCACCATGAAAGCAGAGATGCAGAAGTAGTAAAAAGGTCAGTGCAGCGGCTGAGGGCTCCACCAAGAAGATGCACGTGATACAGGGCAGACCTGGGGGCTGGGGGTGGCTTCCCATGGGGCAACTTCTGAGCTAGGTCGTGAGGGATGAGGAGGAGCCTGTGGAGGACAAAAGAGGGAGGGGCCCAGGCAGCAGGGCATCAGGGGAGGCCCAGAGGCAGGAGCACAGTTGGCCGTGAGGGCAGACCCAGGAGAGCCGGACTGGATGCTGACCCATCAAACAACGTGCCTGGTAACACCCAGCCTCTTACTGCGCTCATCGGATAGAGATTCGATACACAAGGCAACTTTAAAACACAGGTACAAATATAAAAGAATGGCCCTCCCAGACACACACACACACACACCCCTCCACCCCAGGTAATAGAGTTTGCATCTGAAGCCAGAGCCACCTACAGTGAGCTGGCCCTCAATGGGCTCCTGCGTAAAATGCTTGTTTTTCTTTCCTCCTCTGCTGAATGTTCTTGTCCTGAAAGGCAGCATACTTGGGATGGAGGGGAAAGGGCTCTGAAGTCAGACATACCTGGCTGGAGCCCTGCTCTGCTACATTTTAGCTGAGAAGAGTAGGTGTGTTCCTGTTCTTAGGCAGCGTGTTCTCTAAATGTCAGTTAGGTTAATTTGGCTGATGGTGTTGTTCAAGTTTTCTAGACTGTTGGTTTTCTACTTGTCCTATCAATCATTTAGGAAAGGGTACTAGAGTCTCCTCATGAAACTGTGTGTCTATTTCTTTCTTGGTTCTACTAGCTTCTCCTTTATGTATTTTAAAGCTCAGTTATTAGCCCATAAATTTTTAAAATTATGTCTTCTTTATTATTATGAAATATCCGTCTTTGTCCCTGGGCTTATTTCTTGTTCTGAGGTCTACTTTGCCTGATATTAATACAGCCACTCCAGCCTTCTTTTGGTTGGTGGCTGTATGGCATACCTTTCTCCATCCTTTTACCTTTTTTTAAAAAAAGGTTTATTTACTTATTTCAGTGAGAGAGAGTGAGCATGCATGAAGTGGGGAGGGACAGAGGAAGAGGGAGAGAGAAACCCAAGCAAACTCCACAGTGAGTGGAAAGTCCGACATGGGGCTCAATCTCAGATCTGAGCTGAGATCAGATCTGAGCTGGAACCAGGAGTCAGATGCCCAACCAACTGCACCATCCAGGCACCCCTCCATCCTTTTACTTGTAACTTGTAGTCTTCTAACCCTTTATATTTTATTTTATTTTAAATATCTTATTTATTTATCTGACAGAGAGAGAGACAGCAAGAGGGAACACAAGCAGGGGGAGTGGGAGAGGGAGAAGCAGGCTTCCCGCAGAGCAGGGAGCCCGATGCAGGACTTGATCCCAGGACCCTGGGATCATGATCTGAGTTGAAGGCAGACGCTTAACAACTGAGCCACCCAGGCGCCCCTATATTTTATTTTTTTAAAAGATTTTACTTATTTGAGAGAGAAAGAGAGAGACAACATGAGTCAGGGGAGGGGCAGAGGGACAAGCAGACTCCCCGCTGAACAAGGAGCCTGATGGGGGGCTCAGTCCCAGGACCCTGAGATCATGACCTGAGCCAAAGTCAGATGCTTAACTGACTGAACCACCCATGAAACCCTCATTTTATATTTTAAACATCAGTAAGATCTTCCTTTTTAAAAAAATCCAGGGGCGCTTGGGTGGCTCAGTCATTAAGCGTCTGCCTTTGGCTCAGGTCATGATCCCAGGGTCCTGGGATCGAGCCCCACATTGGGCTCCCTGCTCCACGGGAAGCCTGCTTCTCCCTCTGCCACTCCCCCTGCTTGTGTTCCCTCTCTCACTGTCTCGCTCTCTGTCAAATAAATAAATAACATCTTTAAAAAAAAAGAATAAAAAATCCAAACTGAGAATCTCTGCCACGTACATTTAACGTAATTATCAGTTTGGCTAGGTTTAAATCTACCATCTTGCTATTTGTTCTTTATTCATTTCCCCTCTTTCCTTGACTTTGTTTGGCTGATTATTTTTTAGGATTCCATTTATCTCCTTATTAATATATTAGTTGCATCTCCTTATTTGTAGTGGGCCTAGTTTTCCAATATACATATTTAATATAGTACAGTCTATCTTCAAGTAATATTAACACTACTTTACTTACAGTGTAGGAACCTCACCACTGTATACTTCCACTTCTCAACCACATCTTTTGTGGTAATGTCATATATTATACAGTATTCCAACATGTTATTTATTTTCTATTTGCTCATATATTTACCATTTCCAAAACTCTTCATTCCTCTGTGAGGATCTTAATTTCCATTTGGCATTATTTTTCTTTTGTCTGACACACGTCCCTTAACATTTTTATCATGTAGGTGTGGAGATAAATCCTCTCAACTTCAGTTTATCTGAGAAAGCTTTTACTTTGCATTCATTTTTGAAAGGTTTTTGCTGGGTATGTAATTTTAGTTCAGAAAAAAATTTAATTTCTTTTTTAATTTTTATTTATTTATTTGACAGAGAGAGAGCACAAGTAGGCAGAGCAGCAGGCAGAGGGAGAGGGAGAAGCAGGCTTCTCACTGAGCAGAGAGCCCGATGTGGGGCTCGATCCCAGGACCCTGGCATCATGACCTGAGCTGAAGGCAGATGCTTAACGACTGAGCCACCCAGGCGCCCCGAAAAAAAATTTTTTTAAAGATGAGAACTTTTAAAATTTGAAAAAGATATTGCTCCACTGCCATCTGACTTGCATCTTTCCAAGAGAAATCTGCTGTCACTCTTATCTTTGCTCTTCTGTGGGTAGTGTCTTTTTTTCCTCTACTTTTAAGATTTGCTCTGTCACTGGTTTTAAGCGATTTGATTATGATGTGCCTTGGTGTCATTTTCTTCATGTTCCTTATGCTTGTGGTTCACTGAGCTCTTAGCACCTGTGGGTGTATAATTTTCATCAAATTTAGAAAAATATTCTTCAAATTTTGTCATCTTCTTTCTGGAACTCCAATTATACATATCCTACACTATAATATTATTTTTTAAAAGACTTTTGGAATATTTTAATTCATACGTTTTAATTCATTATGTAATGATAGCACAATCTATTTTACAAATTAAATGTATGACTATATATGAAATAGAAATGGGAGGACAAAACTAAACATAGGTCAGGAAAATGAATTTTTCCAACACCAGGTGCCAAAAGGAAGACATGTTGCCTGTAGAGCCCAAGGAGGAGTCAGGGAAGGTGACAGGAACAGCATCGGCTTGTGCTGCTTCTGTTCATTCCCTGTGTTTGCCACAGGCTGGTCTTTTCTTTTTCTTTGTGTTTCATTTTGGATCATTTGTATGGCTATGTCTTCATGTTCACTAATCTTTTCTTCTCTGATGCCTAATTTTCTATGAATCCCATCCAGTGTGTTTTTCATATTAAAAATTGTGTTTTTCATCTCTAGAAGTTTCACTTGGATTCTTTTTAAGATATCTCAGCATGTTCATGTTTTCTTCTACTTTCTTGAACATATAGACCATATCTGTAATAGCGTTTTGTTTTGTTTTTTTTTAAAGATTTTATTTATTTGACAGAGAGAGACGGCAAGAGCAGGAACACAAGCAGGGGCAGTGGGAGAGGGAGAAGCAGGCTTCCCGTGGAGCAGGGAGCCCGATGTGGGACTCGATCCCAGGACCCTGGGATCATGACCCGAGCCGAAGGCAGACGCCTAACGACTGAGCCACGCAGGCGCCCTATAATAGCGGTTTTAATGCTCTTATCTCCTAATCCCTTCAGCTCTGTCACTTCTGTATGTGATGGTTAATTCTGCATATCAACTTGACTGGGCCAAGGGGTGCCCAGCTATTTGGTTAAACGTTATTCTGGATGTGTCTATGAGGGTACTTTTGGATGGGATTAACATTTGGACTGGTGGGCTGAGTAAAGCAGATTGCCCTCCCTAAGCAGGTGGCCCTCATCCAATCAGTTGAAGGTCTGGATAGAACAAAAGGCTGAGTAAGGGAGAATTCAGTCTCTTCACCTATCTCTGAACTGGGACATCAATTTTCCCCTGCCTTTGGAGTCTGACTCAGACTGGCACTACCCGCATTGGCTCTCCTGGGTCTCCAGATTACCAATTGCAGATATTGGGACTTCTCAGCCTCCATAATCACATGAGCCAATCCCTTATAATAAATATCTTATTGGTTCTATTTCTCTAGAGAACCTATACTAACACACTGGGTCTGTTTCTACTGATTGGTTTTTCTCCTAGTTACAGAACATGCTTCCCTGTTCCCACCTTGTACTTTCTCTTTGGGAATTTTATGTTGTTGGTTGCTGGGTTTTTTTTTTTTTGTATTCCTCTGAATGGAGATGAACTTTGTGTGTCTTGCTTTAAGTCATCTGGGAACAGGTAGATCCTTTCAAGGATTGCTTTTAAGTTTGCAAGGGAGGCTCTAGAGCAGGGGTCAGCCTAGGGCTAATGTAACTCCACTACTAAGATGGAAACTTCACCCAATGCTTTGGGTACTGAAGTCTTTAGCTGGGAGAACACTTGCCATTCTCAGTCCTGTGTGAGCTCTGATAGTTTGGGGGCCTAGAACTTTCCAGTGGTGCTTTTGATTTCCTTTTATATATAAACAGTTTAAACACTCAGCCAAAGACTAGAGGGTACCTTCTGCAGATGTCCAGAGCTCTCTGTGCAGCTCCCTCCTCCCTGGGACTCTGTCCCCCAGTGTCACCCAACTAAAGCCCCCCCAACTCTGGACTCGGTGACCTCACTTCTGCAAGAACACTGACTCTGTCTGGCCTCTCCCTGCTCTGCAGCCCGGAAATGCTCTCCAGGCAGTGGGCTGGGGCAATCCCGGGGCTTGTGGCTCTTCTCTCAGGGGTCACAGTCCTGTGCTGCGTGTTGCCCAATGTCTGAA